ACAACTCATGGTTTTGCATGAAGTGGTTGAAAGTCTAGAGGTGAAAATGAAATCTTATGCTGAAGCCACGAAGTCTGCTCATATCTCTTTATGTCAAGATCAAGAGATTGAAAAAGGCTAATCAATTTGCTCGTAGAAAGATTGTGAGGATTTCTGTTCAACTTGAATCTAAGAAGTAAGAGATGAAGTGTGTTGTCACCAAGTTCTTGGCTGAAACACTTGATGTTTCTAATCTGGATTTGGCTCAAGCTTTTTGTATTGGCAATAAAGGAGCAAAACCTCGTGCCATTATTGTTAAGTTTGTGGATCAAGCTCAACGTGATATTGCTTTAGCTAACAAGGCCATTCTCAAGGAACGGAGGATTTGGTTAAATCCAGATCTTACACCTCTTCAAGTTGAAGCAAGGGGAAAGGAGCTTGCAAAAGTCAAAGAAGCTCAAGATGCAGATTTTGTAGCTTATCTACATGATAGTCAAGCTATTATCACTCAAATGAGGAGACGATCATCAACCTAGCAATCCAAGAGGTTGAGTATGTTGATGTGGAACATAAGGGTCCTATCTACAACAAAGTGTGTGAGTGCACATCCAATTTGGGAGATGGCAGACATTGTAGACACTTGGGAGCATGAGAGCAATGCTATTGAAGAGATACAAGATTTTACTTTGGTGGTATCCACTTAGAACCAAAGAAATCAAAGATCAAGAAGAGGCTTTGAAGTCATTGCTACTTTCATCATATCTGAACTTGTTACTATAATACATTTGAAAATCCAAAATAATGGGAAACAATATCATTGGCTTCGTCTTGGATTGATTGGAGAATTTTACAGTTATTTGGCAGTTTGTTACTTTGCTCCATTATCCATGCAAATCTACTCCACAAGCACTTGCAATCGAAGTCAATCATTTCATCGACTCATAGGAGATGTTCTTAAATATCAAGACAAAGGTGAAGTTTTTTTTGTTGGAGATTTTAATGCTCGCATACGTTCTGCTCAATTTACACAATTTGATAGTTCTTTGTCTCCTTCCTTTTTTGAAGAAAGTAGAGATAGTTTGTGATCTAGAGTCTAGAGAGATGATTTGCAAAGATTGCAAACTATTAGAGTACCATCAGATCTCTTGACACCAGTGGCCACATTATACCACTCTCTTCGGTTTGAAAAGTGTTGACACTTCTCAAACAGAAGAGATTTTGAGTATCATTGAAGTCATTCAAGGTTGTATTCTCTCTCCTACTCTCTCTAGAGTTTTCATAGATGATATAGAAAGGTGGTTAGAGCATTGTGATAGTGAAGGTGTCAAACTTGGAGGCTTTGTTATCAAAGCTCTTTTATATGCAGATGATATCATATTACTAGCACATGATGTCATTAATTTACAAAAACAACTTGACACTTTGGCTAGTTTTTGTACCCAAAATCAGATGGAGGTCAATTCAAAAAAGTCCAAAGTGATTATTGTGAACACTAGATCCAAGCTTTCTTTCTTTAACAAAGGATTAGAATTGAAACAAGTGAAGAGTTACAAATTTTTAGGCATTGATTTCTCTTACGATTATAGTTGGACACTTTGTGTGCAAAAGAGGGTAGAAGCTAGTTTCAAAGTTTTATATTCATTGCTAAATAGATGTAGAGCAGCTCATCTAGTGTCTTGGAGTCTTAGAAAATTCTTATTAATGGGCTTAGTGTTTCTCGTTATCTTATTTGGAACACAAGTGTGGAATCTTGGTTGTAAGAAGACAAGTTGGCCACGTTTGAAAAGAGTGTAGAAGATCTTTTTACAAGAAGAATTGGATGTGAGTATCCAAATTTCATATGCTATTCTTTTTGCGGAAACATGTTGTCTACCTATTAGAGCTGAAGCTCTCTTTTTTACTATCACTTACGTCCAAAGAGGGAGATCTCATGATGCTTCTAAACTTACTCTTGAAGCTTTGCGTGCCACACGTCCCAAGAGGTGGCTTGCAGATGTGGTGACTTGGTCTTTGAAGTGGAATGTGACGGAACTCGATTGGAATTTGCAACCTATTGTCCTACGCAAACGTATCAAGGAGGAATTTCTCAACATTATTTGGAGCAGACGAGGCATTAAAATGAAGTTTTATCAACTTCATGTGAATTTTATGCTTGTTTATTGTGAGCAAGAATACTTACTGGCAGAGATTTCTACTTCTTTACGTCATATTATTGCTAGACATAGAATAGGATCTCATAATCTTGGGATTGAGGAAGTACGTTGGTTGAACATTGATAGGAGTGAACGTATTTGTAGACTATGTGATGGAAAAAACGTTGAGGATGAAGAGCATGTATTTCTTACTTGTACTAGATATGTAGAGATTAGAATGGTTCATAAAGTTGTTGTTGAGAAATTTTATTCTTTGCTTCAACTTCAACCTTATGATTTAGGTTGTTATATTAGGGATGTTCTAGTGCTCTTGGCACTAGCTAGGAGATTCTTTTGGTTCTCTCCTAGGTTGGAGTTTGAGTGTTTGTATTGTGCTTTTGAGCCTTTGGATCCCACCGGCTTGATCTATTTACCATATACTCCCATTCACAAGATTCGTTATCATAACAAGTAAACAATATTTGCTGTATCAAACATGGATAATGTATGTATCTATATGACGACTAAACATAGCACACATACACCTCGATGAAAGTACAACAATTATATTGCCAACATCCGCAAATTCCATGTCTTGTAACACACGTTAAATTATGTGACACTTGAAGTCATAGATATTTGTGTGTAATACATTAATAAAGTATACACACTAATATAAGTGAAGTAAAAATAATGTGTAACACACTAAATAAATATACACTCCCCGGACTATAACCATGCCATGCCAATATTTTTTTAATAAATGGATGTTCTATTCTACGTAAGGAATAATTTTGAATATGATGAAGATGGTTGGTGTTAATAATTCCATGTGTTGCTCAATACATGGAATTTGAGAATGTTGTTGGCAATTGGCAATATAATTGCTGTGCTTTCATCATCGAGGTGTATGTTGTGATATGGTTAGTCGCCATACAGATACATACATTATTAGTACACATAAGATACTTTGCTGATTGCCGGTATTGTAGATGATATATCTGATACCGTTCTTATGACCATTATATGGACAACTGGCTGCAGAGTTGGAATGCTGGCAAAAGAGTTTACTAGGCAAGAAAGAAATTCAGTATGAGCCATGCGACTTGTACTGAACATGAGTTTCCACGTTTGGTCTCTACACACAATATTCTTCTTTTCCATGAAGCTTTGGATCCCACACGCGGTGATCTTGTCCTTGATAAGAATATTATTGTACTTATACAATGAAGAGAAGTCGGCATGAGTAGATTCCTTGATGATGTCTAGCGCAAGATTCCTCAAAAACACGTGACGACAATTTGACGCCTGCCTTTCTCAGCCGATGAAATTCATCACAAAGCCCTTCATGCAACTAGAGAATCCATGGTGCGATCTTGGGACCCCGACCCGTCTTAGCCTTCAATCGAACAATCGAACAGATGTTGAGTTGAGTGTTGCATATCGTGTTGTAATCCTCCTTGTCTTTGGTGAAAATATCGCCTCTCGATCTCCACCATCGAGATGGCTTGGTGCTGTTTGATTTGATTGAAACTCGGAAACAACTTGAGAAGTTGCGAACCAATCGAGCGAAGAGTACCCTCTGGTCGTTCTCTTCCTGGACTTCGATCATCCACTTGGTCACCTTCTCTGATTCTTGTTTGGTGACCACATGCTGCAATGCCCGCTTTCTCGGTTCCTTGCCCGTCTTCACCTCAATCTCAATAGTATCTGCCTTGTCCGCATCCTCTTCATCATCTATCTCAGGCATATCCTTGGAATTATTAGCACCATCATCATCTTGTTCGCCACTATAGTGGTACCAACATTGATCGCATCAAACTCCGAGGGCTTACGAGGCCGAGATTGCGATGAGACTTCAATGATAATATCATCGGATGATGACAATTGGTGGGATGACTTAGGCCTGGCTCGCAAATGCAACCACAATTGGACGGGAAGAAAAGGTGCTGATAGGAATGTTTCATGCTCGAGGCTTTTCCTTGGAGAGAAAAATAGACTGGCATTTCTGCATGGTCATACATTTCTTCCAGATCTCAAGCTAATCGGCCACCTTCTTCATTGCCATGTGGATCTTGGGTGAATTGGCAGACACTGTAGAATCAACGTTGTTCTTGTCGAACCCCATTTTCCAAAGGTCGCTTTTTAGGGCAATATCGGTTTCGCTTGCTGCTTATACTATTTTTACTGCTCGAAATAACTTCAGATTGTTGTGATGGGTTGTTGGCGGGCTTGCGCAGTCCGATGACTGCCCGCAGAAAGCTATATAAATAGGTTATGGCATTCAGGATGATATTAGACAGTTTTACATTTTTTTTTCTGAACATCGATGTGGCTGAACATATATTAAAGTGTTACACACTAAATACCGCAATCAGTGTACATCGAACGATTAGCCAAAATGAGAAATGACGAAGTCATTATATAATGGCTTCGTCATTTCTCATTTTGGCAAACTTGAGAGAAGTCGGTGGTGCGAGTAAACACTAAGCTCGAGTTGGTATTAATGTTCATGCTCTTCTCGAATAAAAAACCTTACAACCACTGAAGGAAAAAGAGTCTAAAATCTGGATGCGCACGCAATGAATGAAACGAAGCTTTTTTCCAGCGAAGAGGAGAAGCTCGATGCATATGTCAGATCCAGCTCGGAGTCCGATGGATGTCAATCGCACAAGTCGCAGGAATAAAATCGAAAGGCGACAACAATGGCGAAGAGTCAGTGCAAAGTCTGCCATCTGCGAACGCGCAAGAATCTCAACTGTGCACTCGGACCCCAGGACATAAAGGCCGTGGGCCTCGATCGTACGGTCGAGCTGACTCGGCCGATCATCCATCCGGTTCTATCTCCACGCGAACAAAAGCCCGAGGCCGAAGAAGAGACCGCTACCTCGAAAGCGCGACGCTTTGTCAACACAAGACCCAGCGCCTAGTACGGCCGGGGGCTCTCGTTACAGGAACTATTCTGGGGCGTCTCCGGTCCATACTGACCGGCCGAGGCGGTGAATCCCGACCGGGCCCGAGCGCAGTTCGAATCGCGGGCTCACATCGGCCGTCGGATTTCGCATCGACGTGCGCGTGTGTACCGCGCCTTTGAGCGATTCGAAGTGAGGAGGACTTGGTGAGGACGGGTGCGATCGGCTGCAGGCGGTGAAGAGGGGCATCGAGATGGAGAGCTTGGGCGGAGCAGGCAAACCAGGTCAGCGATCGATTCGTGTCTGTGATTTGAGAGCCCGGCGATCGGATGGTGCAATGTTGTGATTTCTTATCTGCAATTATTGGAATCGGCGATTTGATCATTTTCTGCTGGATTTCGATTCTGCTCTCTGCTCGAGCCCGTAATGATTCGTGACGAATAGAGCCGACTGGGGCCGTTCCTAGCACGTGCACTGATTGAGTGTACGGTGTACATCATCTCGTCGTTCGATGAGTATTCGCTCTCGTTATAAAGTTGTTTGGCGATGAGAAGATGTTGAGGCGGGGTCCCTCTTTCGGGGAGTAGGATCGAGGTTGCCTTCGTTCTGTTTGGTGTGGTTTGGTTCGGTTTTGAGACATTTTCTTCGATCGATTGATCGCTTTTGATTAGAAGCTGTTGCTGGATTTTTTGGGAGAAAAGGATCTGGCAGCATGGCAGCTTCTTCGGCGGCCAATACGGCTGCCATTGCTGCGAAAAAAGGTTTGGGGATGATGTTTAGCGCCAGCAAAGTAGCAGCGGCTGCGATTCAAGCGGGAGTTCAGAAAGCTCGGAAAGGTTACGCCAACAAGCACGAGCAGGATGTGCTGAACGAGCTAAAAGCCAAAGGCTTGCCTCCGGTTGAACACCTAGTAACTGGTTAGTTCTTCTGAACAATGTGACCTCTTTACTAACTCCTCAAATATGACCGCTTAATCCTCACCCGTTCGGCAGTGATATCCCCATTGTCACGAGCTTCTGCTTCATGCCTCGTTCGGATGTCTCATTCTTTGACTCTTCAAATCAACACTCTTTATCGTCAGCTTCTGTGAATCAGTGGCCTCAAGTTTTAACTAGAAAACACTAAATGCACTGTATTAGTCAGAATCTGCATTCCTCGTTGTGTTGTAATGCCTGGAATAACGCATCAGTACTGAAGGCTAGGGATTCACTTGTTCAAAAGAGACAGGAATTGTATCGGGAATTCAAGAAACGGCTCCTAGTCCAGTGTTCAATATTATTTATTTTGTGATCAAATGCAGTACAGTTCATGGATGTGCGAAACAACACATGTACATGGTCTGGACACAAAGATGGCTACATCCACATTTGGACTATAGCATAACAGTGAAAGTGGACCAAGAAGATGAGAATTGATAATGGCTTATAAATATCATAATTTGTTTTGGTTTTCCTCTTTCGATTTTTGTATTATGCAATAAGAAAGTCCACATTTATTTCTAATGAGGGACGAGCATTCGAATTCTGTGCAATAAGAGACAATTGGACGTCCTTGAGGTCTCCTGAAGGCTTCCGCATCACCCTTTCCATCGTGATTTTTGTTATATTTCCCCAACGTGATTTAGTGGTGCTGTATATGTTGGCTGTGTTTTACAGTTTTGAAAAGGTTGTACTATCTGAAGATGGCTGGGTACAAACATGAATTGCAAGCAGCCGCTTTGGTTTCTGCGAAGAGGCTGGTAAGTTTTTTCGTATTTTTACACCATACATTTTTCGGTTAACCTTTCGTTGCTTTTTCCTAAATTGACAGAGTAGAGGTGAATATGAGGTTCATGAAGATGTATGTCTCACGATTTTCTGAGAACCTTATATCGCAAGCCGTTCTTTCCAATGTAAATAACAGAAGTGAACGTGCATCATGCCTATGTTAGGATATTTGTTCTGTATAGCGAGGATTCGTGTCATCAATCGGAGCTGATATATTCTGGCCCCTAATTAAATCTCAATCTTCCAAAACCGAAAGTTCTTCCGGAAATTTGCAAAATCCTGGAAAGAATGCTTACCGTTTGCATTTTATGTTTCCTTTCTGTCCCTTTGTTTCAGACTGACTCAGAGAAGACCACTGTCCCAATCGATGTGGTTGTAGTGCTGGGTGGTGTACTGATGGAAGAAACCCTCAAGTACGGCGAATTTCAAAAATCAGCAATTGTGCAAGGAATGCAGGATTTTCTAAACAAGTCGAGGATGGGCAAGGATCACTATGACCGAGACTCTGTCGCCCATGATGTCTACTATGCTGTACTGATTCTTGCAGAGGTATAATCAAGGCTTTTCCCAAGTGTGGACGGAGTTGATATTTCTATGCTTATTCCCATAGCTGTTCTGATTCACTGGCTTACTTATTGACCTGAGTTCGTTGCTTCATTGCGCATGAATTTATGTTACGGTTGCTATGCCAAGCAAACTAGATATCTAGGTGTTGGTCATCATTTAGCAAACTCATCCTTTTCACCTACTTCATGATGGTTCCCGGCGGTATCATGCAGGAATTTGATACCGAGTGGGAGCAACTAGAAGCCTGTATCAGAGATGCTGTGACTCGGCTAGTCGAGTGGGCAGCCGTGACCGAGCAGTCGCCAGATGCGCGGTAATTTACTTTGACAACATGAAGTATATACAACATATGGAGAGGTTACATTACAGAATATTCTGTACTTGTTTTCTTTATATATGTTGTGTGCAGTTACTTATAGGAGACACCGAGCTTACTCTCGGTATGTCCTACAAGTACCTGCTCCAACCTCTCTTCTATTAAGCTGAGAACTGTTTATCTCTTGTTTACGTCAATGTCGAGCTTTGAATGATTCACTCATCTGTGTGCGCTCACAGGACAAGGGCGGCCAAGGCTGTTTACCGTTTTGCACAGGCAATCAAAGAGGCTGGTACAGCAAGCGAGGAGAGGAGGCAGAAGGCGCTCAAAGACGCAGAGAACACGCTTCGGAGAGAACAAGACCGACGTAGGCCACCATCCTTTTTTCAAAATCATTCTACTCCTACTATTGTCTCCGCACCTGCTCAAGTTCCCATTACTGCTCCACCTGCCACTGCTGTTATTCATGCAACATCCGAAGTTCATGCAACCACATTTCAAGCTTATGACCCGAGTCAAAATCCTTACACTCCTACAGCTCCAGTATATCCTACTTCAGCTCCTCCATATTCTTCTCTCCCTACCAAATCTGCTTAGAGTTGGCTATTCATCATGAAGCTGAAACTGCCTATAAAACGCGATTGTGTTTACCACGGCGTTGCTGCTTGAGTCCAGCAGGTGTATATCTAGAGATGAACGTGAATGTTTTGTGTAGGTTTCACTGCATCGCGTCCGCAGCAAGACTGCCATTTGCTCTTTCTAAAGAAAACAGAATTTAGGGAAAATTGTACATAGTCGGTAAAAAAGGAAGGCTTTTGAATGAAAAATAGTCACTTAATTTCCATCTTTCTTTCTGCTCACATCAATGAAGAAATGGGCCACGATCAACTACAACAGAGCACGAGCGATCCTTCAAACTGCTGCCTTCCGCTGCACTAGTTTGTTTGTCACACTAGCAAGGTAGGAAGGCCTACTGTTGTTACAGCTGTAACTCTACTGTCTCTGACATCTGTTCTCGTTTTTTCTACCAAAGAATCCCTGACTCCCTCGTCATCGAGCTAGATGTATTGACGTTGGAATCTGAAACGCTCACAAAGAATCTGCGACGGGCGAGGTGATACACGCCAACTTATCCAGGGTGGCCACATATATGGAAAGTGGATCATGGGAAGACAAGCAGTTTCGAAGATCTTGGACCAAGCTACTTACACGAAAAAGCTAAATAACAGTTCAACCGGATTCCTGGCATAATTACCGTATCTTGCATGTAAGCGGAAGATCAAAACTACAATATCTTAAGTATAGCAGTAGCGCCGGTAATGGTCGAACCATGCCCCGAGCATATGACTTGAGTACTTTGATCTAGCTGCAGGCGGTTCTTTACGGTCCAGTTTCTGTGCATCAATTGTGAAGGACCGTAGACGACCTTTACAGAACTGTCACGGAATGTGTGATCAAAGTGCCACGTTCGTGGGCCACTCACGGATTTTTGAGAGGAAATGGGTGTGCTAACTTAGGGGCGAGTACTCTTTCACTCACCGCTTACGAAACTGTGCTATATTCACTGATCCGTTGGACGGCGACAGCTTACTCGAAACGTCGAGGACCTTCAAGCTACCTGCATTGTTTTTCTAACCTCATGGCACATATTCTAGCGTGACGTTTGTAATGGAGTTGCATGACTCTCTGCAATTAGCAGAACAATGTGGAGACGTGTGTGACAACCACACAGTGAGAAGGTGATAATATCAGGGCCAGCCATACAGTATAATATAATAGCCTGTCGCCCTTACTTTATAAGAGGCAAGAGCCACAGAAATGGACAACTTCATTAGAGTTGTCAGCGTGTACAATTTCCCTTGACGAAACGTTTTAGTTCGTTCATAGTAATCTCTATATTCTTGACCCTGTCATCTTCCTGTGCTTCTACTTTCTCAGACAGTCTCGAAAGATCCCGGATTTGGACACTCCAATCACTTTGAGCGGGTATGGCACCGTAGACTGCAAGCACGCCAGAGTCAGGACATATCCTGCAAATGACGCTCACCGTGTTTTCGCAGTGGGACGTTATGATAGTGATTTGGAACAACTTGTAGGGAACATTCGTTTGACAGGATAACGTGACATGCTAAGATCGAATTTTTGCTAACTCCGAGGATCAGACATCACATTTCGTTGTAAGCATCTCACGTGAACAGCTGGAAATAACGCCGAGAAATTCAAGATTATGGAGGAACTATAGTAAATTTTAGCTTATTACTATATTTATCTAGAAGTAGAGTTATTTATTGAGGCAAACTGAAAAGGAATCAGATCGTCACATACAAAATGTGGCTTACAATTTATATCCTGGAGGTCAAGCCATGAAATGTTTGTTTGTTCTGTCTATCTTGTTTGTACATCACTTAGTACTGTTAGCGCATTATACTCAAATATAGTTTCCAATCGCACACCAAATGACTTTTTCACACCTCTTAGTTTCCATCTAATTCTACCTCACCATATGTTCAGTATATACAAAAAAGAGATTTCATTATAAAACCGTTGATTTTGTATAGAAGAGAGAAAGAAACAAAAGCTTGTTGATCATATTTCTCCACGATGTATCTATCGTAAATACTATCATGAAACACGTCTGCTTGACATATGTTTGATCACAATATTTTGTAAATTTTCACTCGATGTTTAACATAATATGCGATGATTTATTCTTTCAACTTGGTATGTTATTCACTCATTCTAATATATTTTCACTTTATAGAATGAGAATTCTATCACTCTTTGTCCAAAAGTCCTTTTTTGTTCAATTGCTTGTCAGTTTTTTCTTGTCATTTTTTTTCTTTTTAGCCTGACATAACCCCGCGCTACGGGCCTTTTTCTACATAAAGTATTTCATGCTATTTGTAATAAAATGCATCGCCAATCGATGTACTCCAGCCGGCATGTAAACTTGTTTGTGAGTTTCCAGTCTCAAGACAGGAAACATAGTGCACACATTGTGGAAATATAATTGATTTCCAAGATCTTTTACAAGATAATGAGAAGTTTCATATTATGATGCTTTGAACTTAGGTTCAAATTGCTTCTTTTACGAGCAAAACGATTGGATACATCTCAAATCTAGTAAAAATACATTTGAATGCTATGAATGCAATGTTTAAATATCTTGAGTGTGTGTTGGATTTGATCTTGTATTTGATGTAAAATCAGATAATGTCAAATCTTTGATTGATTATGTAAATGTTGATTATGGACAAGATCTAGTTGAAATAAAATTTATGATCAGATATGTGTTTACACTTGAAAGTTGGATGCATAAATTTGAGATATACATTACAAAACATTTGCTTAGTTCCACTCACTGCCGAAGATCAATTAGCAACGAAAACTACAATAAGAATTCAGTTGAATGGACTTGTCATTAAGATGAGATTAATTCATTCATTGTGAATCTTCACTTTGACTTTTCAAATGCTTCACATCTAACTTTGAAAATATGACATATAGCAGAATAAAACAAATTGACATAGATTTTGTTTTTTGAAACAAGTTCAACAGGTCTTAAATTATTGTTAGTTAATTTCACTATAGTTAAATAATCTAATAGTCTGATATAATATAAGTCAATTGATCTTAGCTCTTAATTGCATAATTAGAGATGTTTGTTGAAGTAATAGTGTGGTCCACTGTACTTAGTCTAAAAGTGTGAATCACATGTATATTGTTTGTGTATGTTTTGTATTTTGGGTCGGGTATGTTTGAATCAAAGATTACCAAATCTCGATGGGAAAGTAATCTAAGACCCTCGGTTGTGTATATATATGGTGTTTTGCATTGTGGATGTTTGAGTCAAAGACAAACAAGTTGGGGATACAAGTTTGATTACATGAAAGATGAAGTCCAATTGTGAATATGTCGCATTCAAAACTCTCCTTTAGCCATGGAAAGACATCAATTTTTATTTCGCTGGAGAAAGAGGAGACATGAAAAGTATGATTCTTCAAAAATAGAAACTTTGAAAATTGAGCTGAAATTAAGGATACAATTATGCTTTCATTAGCTCTTGCTTCACATTCTGCTTGTGTATATATTCGAGTGTCAATCTTCTCACATCTTGATGCAAGGAATTATTATCAAATCACTTTGGTGAAGTCAAAATACACATAAATTCAAAATTGACATCCCAAATAAAACCTATTTGTTGGTGATTGACAGTGGTAGCTACGACCAACTCTATCATATAATAAAGGTATAACGTTAGTTCAACTAACCAGAGTTAAATTCCAACAACAACCTGTGACGAGGATAAGAAACTAATCACGTACAGAAATTAACATGTAAAAACCGCGTTTCATAACCAACAACTATGCATCTTACAAATTCACATGATATCATGAAAAGATGTTGGATGCCCTTTCCACGAATTAATCATTTATAGAGGATAAAAGGTTATCCATATTGACAAAATTGAATTTTCTAAATATTATTGTATTCTTGATTTATTGTTTCTAGGTTCATGTGAAAAGTATGAACTATGTTCACTCAAATAAAATATGAGTAAAATAAAAGTTTAATTTCTTTTTGTTATCTTTAAAATAAAACAAAGACCTCGAAATGCCGAAACTTCTTATCTCGTCTTGCAACTAAAAATTCGCCTAAAAATGCATATAAGAGTGTCATATAATACTCGAAGAAGAAAAACCGCAGAGTACGTTCCAATGTAACTGAAAAGAAATCAGAAGCAGCAGAGCGTGCGGGTCAGCGCTCGAGCCAATGCTGGAAATGCGGGCGCAAAATGAAATAAGTAGGCATGTAAAAAAGGCCTCATGGCTCGACGCCACGTCCATGCAAAATTGTTGGTCCAGAGCCCGCCGTCATTCAGTGGAGCCGGAAGGTGGCGTTGATGGCGCTGCTGCTGCTGCTCGTCAGCCTCGTCCGCCTCGCACCGTCACAGTTTCGCTCGCACTCCCCACCTCGCGGCCTTTGTTCGAGTGGTCGGGATCTGCCCAGCCTCCGGATTCGACAAATGTCTTGACGGCGTTCGGTGCATTCATTCGCACTCAGAGGCGACTCAGGAAAGCTGCCGAACCAGTTTCATGCTCTTGCCGGTTCTCGAGGAGGGGCAGACAGAGTGAGTGAGTGCGTCGAAGCTCTCGGATTGGAGGGCGGGCCCTGTGGATTCCTCGTTGTTCTGATTCGTGTTGATGCTGCGAATTGCGTCTGTGGAAGTTGGAGAGCGCGTGCACGCTTGGCTCGACGAGGAGAGCTCCCGCCACTGTACTCTGTTGAGGTCTCGAACCCGTAGGCTTATCGCAACTCTCCGTCGATTTTGAATGGCCAGTGTACTGGGATTGTGCTGCTGCTCTGCTCACGCGGATAGCTCTTTCTCTCGTGCTGGAGTGTCGAGGTGCCATTCTTGGAGAAGCAGAGCGGGGAATTCTGGCTTGAAGAGCGTTTGGCTCGGTCAGCGGAGCGGGCATGATTTCTCAGCCTCTAGGCGGCCCAGATTCCGAGACCCTGATCGGAAACGGGTCCATATCGTGGCAGCCTGGGAGGAGATTTATCGCAACCAGGTTCAGTCTTAATCCCACGATCCTCCTTTCAAATAAAACTATACGATTGACATTTTTCAGGGTTCAAGCTAGTTCAGAAGATTCAGATTCACCTCTGTTGCTATATTTTGCGCCAAGGTGGAATCGTCGACCACAAGAGCCTCGGTACGAGAATTCACCGCGATAGGATACACATCTACCTTCTAACCTTGAGAAATTTCTTTTCCTTCAATGGAACAGCAGCCTATCGTTCCAATGTACAGGTAATAGAAAGTTCAGCGTTTCTTAAAATCATCAATGTACCTCCCAGTATCTGATTACGGGACAACCTTGACTTTGTACTCTTCGAGCTTTCATTGCATCACTCTGCCTGAATGCATCTTGTCACATACCACGATCGAGGATAAGAAGCTTAATTCATTGTGTGCAACTTACTACGTCTTGGCTACAGTGTACAATTGAACGAACTCATGCAAATAAACTGTTTAATAAAAGTAATGCGTTGACGTGGTTAATGTCTATCTGAACTTTCCCTCATGTTCTACGCGAAATGCTTACATACAAGTGAGAATTTTTTTCCTTCGAACTCTTCGGTCATCCAGGTATAAATCACTCCGGGACATACTGCAGTTTAGGGATTGCTTACGACTTTGAAATCTGTTTCCATTGATTCAAATTTTTTTTTTTTAACATGGTTTTCGAGTTTTGTTGACTCGTTTGTTACATTTAGTGGTGTTTGGGACGAAACGAGAGTCCCGTTCATGAGCTAGATCTCTGTACGTGAAGATTGTGTTGGAGAGGAGTCGACTCTAAACGCTTCGTTCTCCCGAACGAAGGTTTTAGAGTGTTCTGTATGCAGACCTAGAAACCAACATCAAAACAACTTCATGTGGACATGGTTTGCTCGAAAGAAGAGTGCTAAAAAATATGCGTACTCGGACATTTAAGTGACCCGGGGATGTACGCTTGACTTGAACGTTGAATGTCTCACTGGCCAGTCTTCATGATCCTCATCGAGGTTTCTTTTTCTTTAGTAGGAAGGATTTTGAAAGAGTATCGTATAAAATTCAGATTGTCGCGACCATATATATCGCCGCCTTCTTCAGATACTCAGACACCTGGATGATTTCCACCTAATGCGAGATGCTTTCCTCTAGCAATTTATGTTTGATGTCAAATTGTCTCTTGTCCTGGAGGTAAATGTCCAAGTAGAAAAAGGTGACGATTTCTGGTTAACGGCATAGCCTATCAGTAACCATATCGCTTGAACAAATTGACTAACGTATTCCATCAATGTAGCCCTTCCTATTAATGACATATTTTCTTTCCAGTTGTTCGACACTTCATGACATATTATGTTATGCAGGTTCTAGTATCTTCAGCCGTTGCTGGGATTCTTGGACAGTTGGTGAAGCCTGTGTCTTCTGCAGCATCCGGGAAAGGGTTCAACTTGAAACTGATCATAAAGCCTGGTGGAATGCCGTCTACACACTCTGCGGTACCTAACTTTGATATCAGTATTGTGATTGATAATATTCAACCTTTTCTTGCACTTATTATTGGCAACTCGTATGGACCTTTATAACCTTCAATGTAACTTGTAATTGATGGCAGGTTGTGACCGCTGCAGCAACTGCTATGGGTTTAGAGAGGTAAGATCTGAGTTAAAAACTTCGAATGATTATAGAATAGTATTTTGCTGGTATAAATTTGGAACTTGCAAAAAGCATCACCTTATTCTCTGTCATATTATTCCCCCCTACTGTAAATTGAAGCTTTTGGAAAGTACAGTCTGGTTTATCTTCACTGTTTGAATGTATTCAATGTGTCAACTCTAACTGATGAGTTCTTTGAATTTGGTGTTCTCCAGGGGCTTCTCGGATTCGCTATTTGGATTCTCTGTCATCGTAGCTGCCTTGTTTATGTATGATGCTCAGGTAATCTCATCGATGCCCAGCTGTATTCCGTTTTTGCTCAGCTCTCCCTCTACATGACTAGTGATTTTGGAGACCGTCATGTTACTTCTGAACAGTTAATTTCTTACCGGAACATGCGATTTTGCAGGGTGTTAGGAGGTCAGTGGGCAAACAAGCGGAAGTAATCAACACTATTGTCTTAACACAATTGCCAAATCCAGTTCCAGAGTCATCGTCCTCATCCTCATCTCCTCCGAACCCCTCCCCTTACTCAATTGGTGCGGAGCTAGCCCGTGATCCTGTTCAGGCTGAATTGAAATTCATGGAGGAAGCTGATTCCTCGGTTTCCACAGCCAAGGCATCTAAGTCTACGGCTGTTTACAACGATCCGAAGGTGAATGGCACGCCATCGTTCTCCACACAGATTTCTGATGAGAAAAGTGTTATGAATGGTAGTGCTCTTGGAAGGACACAAGGATTTTTTGAAGCGGCAGAAAGTCTTCCGAGTGTGAAAGATGGCCAAGTAACACTTCAAGAGCTCGGTAATTTGAGTGGCTGGAGACACATTCCTCTGAAAGAATCAGTGGGCCATACTAAGTTCGAAGTGTTGATAGGAGCTATATGGGGAATAGCGGTAACTCTTGCCTTGCATTCAAGTTTTCAATTTTGACCATTGCATGTTGATGCTATTGATATCTGTGTGGGAACTGAAGTTCATACCTTAGGAGCCATATCCTTTCCCAGAATACAGTAGGAGGCTAAAATAGACAGACAGAAGAATCTCTCGTCCACGGAGTATACAGAGAAAGTCACAACTGTGTCTACTATTTGCTGGCACTAGTAGAAATATATGTAAATTTGTGACGCATTTATTGAGCATGATAAGCTGGTGTAGCACCGGAAATGTACATGGTTAGGGTATAGTTGAAACAGCGCAGACAATCTCCTTAGCAGAATTATGGGTGCTTTGTAATGAGCAGCCTGGACTTATTTCAAGGAACGGCGAGTAGTCCTCCGTATCCCTGCATCTGTATTTTGTTCTGATGATATAATTTCTTAATAGAGACTTGCAATTGCGTTCCTAAATTGGAGTTGACACAAGTTGGAGCGGTCGATATTATCTCATGTCAGATTGTTTGCTAAACTAAGCCGATTTCTTGCACAAATGTTTAAACTTTACTAGATAACCTGTCCCTAAATCTCATTGCTGACATAAGCGAGCTCTGGTTTTGACAAGACGGTAGGAGACACAAAATGAAAGTGGAGGCCTCAGATGTGACGCACAAATGTTAAACTTTACGAGATAACCTGTCCCTAAATCTCATTGTTGACATAAGCGAGCTCTGCCTTTGACATGACGGTAGGAGACACAAAATGAAAGTGGAGGCTGGACATGTGACGCAGGGAAAATGTACTGGAGTGTGGATAACGAAACAAATCAGAAAATTGAGAAAAATCAACGAACTAGAATTATGCATGAATGGTAAATATATCAAGTTATCAGTACCAAAGGAACAAAAGTTAAAAAATACAGCACAAACAATCAAACTCACCAGCAAAGAACCATTTAACTAGTGACCATAGCATTAGAATGAAAAACTATTAACATTTCTCGTCAAACAATCTGAAACAGAAAGTTCAAGCTGCAATAAAGAATAAAAATTCTCAACAACAACTTTATGAACCATTTTAATTTCAATATCTCTAGTATAAGTAACAAACACATGTTCTTCAACTTTTATTCCATCATATAAATTTACAAATACATTCACTCCTATTAATGTTCAACCAATGCCTTGTATCATTCCCAAGATTATAAAATATTGTTTTATGGCGAACAATAATATGACGTAAAGACGTAGAGAGTTACGCAAACAATTATCTTTGCTTACAATAAAAAAACGTAGTATTCACATTAAGTTGATAAAATTTCATTTTAGCGATTCGTATGCTCAAAATAATGTTGAGAAATTCCTCCTTGATACGCTCGCAACGTGCCATAGAAAGCAAATCCGAATCGAGTTTTGTCACATTCCACCTCAATTGCAAACCATACCTTGGACGGTGTGGCACACAAAGTTTCAAGAGTAAATCGAGAAGCGTCAAAAGATTTCACTCTTTTGACGTAAGTGATAGTCTAGAAGAGAACTTGAGCCTCAAGAGTTAGAGAATTTGTTTCCGCAAAAAGAATAACATATGAAGTTTGGGTACTCACACCCAATTTGTATTGTAAGAATATCTTTTGCACGATCTCCAAACGCTGCAAACCTGTCTTCTTACAACCAACACCTCACACATGTGTTCCATATAAGATAACGAGAAACAATAAGAATTTCCTAAAACTCTGAGACATTAGATGTACTCCTCTACATTTATTTAGCAATGAATATAGAGTTTTGAAACCAATTTCTACCCTCTTTTGCACACAAGGTGCCATACTATAATTGTAGGAGAAATATTATTCAATCTTTGCCATAAAAACTCATGATGTATTATGTCAAAAATTTTCTTGAAATCGATGAACACACAAATCAAAACTTTTCCATCACCCTTGGATTTCTTCCATAAAACACGCAAAACCAAGATATGATCTATAGTGTTGAATGTAGGACGAAAACTAGCTTGGATACGGCGCTTTGTTCTAACAAGATTCAGCCCATGTGCTCAACTTTGATTCCATTAATTTGCCAATAACTTGGCAAAAATACTACCCACTATGATAGTCCGATAGTCCTACTAACGATACTACCCACCATAAATCATTGCTCCAAGATTTGTGAATAGGATTAATCTTCCGTAGAGACCAAGTTGAAGGAAACCTATAGCATCATTCTCTAACACTTTAGTGAGTATAGGCCCAATAGCATCTACTCCTCACTTGAAAAGTTCAATCGAAAGATCATCCAAATCCTCACATTTACCATTTGCCAATTGTGTGAGTTGAGTCATCACTTCAGCTTCAGAAAATAAGCCAGGTTTTACTTCACAACGTGACATTGATGCAACATTGGGATCAAATTGAAACTTTTTAGCAAAAGAAAGCAAAGACTTGGGATCAAGAAAAGATTTGGAAGATCATACTGCCAACCGTCTGCAAAGAGATTAGGGATTTCCCAACAGCTCCTTTGTCAAGCACTCTTGCTTCCGCATAAAAAATGCTTGTTTCTTAGACTTCATCAAATCTTTGTAAAGTCTTGTCATAATAAGCCAATTGTGAAGATCCAAGAATTTATCAATTGATATCGCCCTTGCTTGCTTGCAATCAAAGTCAAATCATACATTTCCAGAAAACCTCTAGCTCTCATGTTCTTATGTCTCAAAAAGAACTTAGAAGTAGAGTTTTTGAGCAACTAGTAAGTTGCAAACTAGATGTGAATCAAGGCTCCAAGTAGTAAAAGTCAAGAGGTCTTGTAAATGTTGACTATAAAGTTGCTTCTTACTAGGATCTAAAGAAAACTTGGTGAAGTAGAAACATAGTAACATGTAGAGTGATGAATTGACTTTTACAACAAAAGAGTAAATAAAAGAGCTCTATGATATAATTCTGGTTGAGACTCTAGAATATCAAATATTGAGTTAAATTAAGTATTAGTGGCAGAGTACAAAAGATAATCAATAGTATACTTGTATACGAGCATAAAAGTATATAGTATAACCCTGTATACGAGCATTAAAGTTTCCATCAAAAAAATTTCATCTTTGTTTTGATAATTGAGAACATCTCCTATGAACTGATGGAATGTTTGACTTCAATTACAAGTGCTTGTGGAGTAGATCTGCATGGATGATGGTGCAAAATAACAAACTGCCAAATAACTATAAGATACTCCAATCAATTCAAGATGAAGCCAATGATATTGTTTCCCAATATCTTGGCTTTCCAAATGTATCATAGGAAGAAATTCAGATCTGATAAAAGTAGCAATGCCTCCAAAGCTTCTTACTGCTTGTTGATTTCTATGGTTCCAAGTAGATTCCACCCAAATAAATCCTTGTATCTCTCCAATAACATTGCTCTCATGCTTCCAAGTCTCTACACTGTTGATGATGGCCGCCATCTTTCAAATTGAATGTGCACTCACATACTGTGTTGTAGATAGTACTCTTATGTTCCACATCAACACCCTCAATCTCTTGGTTTGCTAGATTGATGATTGTATTCTCCTCTAATTGATAATAGCTTCTATAATTGATAATTGATAGTAGTTCTATACATGTAACAGATGTTCATGCTTCTCCATTGTAACATGACAATGTTATAATTATTTTTAATAACAATTAGCATCCATAGTGAATGCTATTATATGTTTAACATTAAACATAGATTTCTATTTGCTAGTGGGAAGAGTATAAAATATAGTAAAATTCTATTTTCTCTTTTTTTTTAAAGATTCAATATGATCTTAAGTAGATAAATTTGAATTCGTCTTTTATCGGCTCAATTATTTGTGAGGGCAGATTCTTGAGTTAGTACCATAGATCTTCGATCAACTCTTCTATGAGTTCAACATTTGTTCTTGGTGAGGGATTGGAGCGAGTGACGCCTTCAATAGATCGAGGCCACACATGCTGCTCACGTACTCTGTTTCTATCTGACTTCCCAGAAAGATTTGTGTAAGAAAATTTGTCCTCAGCCTGTTCGGTGATTGAAGAATGTGGATATCTTGTCTGGCCTGATAAATGACTTCAGAACATATCAGCTCTACTATAGCTCAATCATTCATTCTCCCGAACTCTATGAAGTAGTCAGCGGTGAAGAGGTGACATTCTTACACAGGATACCTTACGTTTAGCAAACCAGCTTGATGTAAAACTGTCTTGAACGACTTTTACTTCATCTCTTATGTTGAAGATGTCATAGAAAAGATAGTTGAAATGTTTCATCAAATTTGTAATTTTTTAGTCACATTACACTTTTCGGAATTTATGGCTATAATGCCATTAGTAGTAAAAAATATAATATTTTGCGATCATTTTTTAAAGAAACGACTTTTTTTTTAAAAGTAATGTGTAAAAACTGAACTGTGTTTAGACAACAGAAGGAACATCAAAGTTTACTTTCTTATACTATATAAGTTCACTATACTATGTATGCATATTTGTAATCAACTTTCACATATTGTGCAATATAACAAAATTTCTTGGAAATACAATTTATATATGAGTACTGCGTCCAATTTTGTATTTATATTTAAGTGATACTTTGAATTGAAAGAATATATTCATTGGTAAAGTTTGTTAGATTCAATCTATTAAAAATTTTAGTTAAAATACTCATGATGTTTATTTACCTTTATATTATATTACTTTATTATGAATATATTTCAAAGTGTCATTTAAAGATATGAAAATTACACCCTTTAAATCAGATTTACTTTATTTATGTTTTGGAGATTTTTTGTCATTATTGCTAAAGTATATTGAATAATTCAACAACAATCATTGCATCTTTTTAAACCGTGGTTGTAAGCCCAAAATTCGGAAACTTATGAGACTGAGTTTATATTTATGAAGTAGAATCTTTTATCATTAACCTATGCACATACTAAACATACATAGTACTAACATTTGATGATACAACATTAATTCTCAATAATGAAATAATCATTATTGTTTTATCAACCATTGAAAGTGTAACAACAAATTCTGTGACACATGCTGCAAATACACGTAAACATTTATAACGAAATTCGAGCCAAGAAAGAAGAACTAGCAAGTTATGCAACTTTCAAGACTTCTGACAATGCAGTCCGATGCGAGGTTAAAAAATAGGCACTTGCACTTTGGCCATGAATGGACCAAAATCCTCAGCAAAATGCAAATTATTGCAGGAAACATGGCCGCTTACAGGGGATACTATCCCTCGTGTACCCGGAGGTCTGGGTCAATTGACACCGCAAAGATTTCACGAGTATCAATCAGCTAATCAACTTGTGTACGAATGCACATGCATCTTCACGAGGATTCGCAACAGTTTCGATTGTCATACTGGAGATTTCGAAGTCCATGTGAATTGGTTCTATCTGAGCTATACTGTCGTCCAGTCAAGACCAGAATCACCAAGACAGAACCAATTG